GCGACGGGGGGAAGTGAGCAAGAGGAGGCCTTCTCAGAAGGCGGCGGGACTCCGCAGAACCCCCTCTCGGGGATGGACAGACCCCCCTATAATAAAGCGTGGTTTAGCGAAAACGACCTCGGGTCCAAACCTGGCGGGCGCAAGCCTGAGGAAGATAACGGCCGCGGCGCCCTCTCGAGAACCGAAAACAGGGTGGGGGTTCTGTCCACCCCCGACCCTCGGCGCCTTCTGAAAAGTTTGTGTTGCACTTTTGCCGGGAAGATGAAAAGACGTCTCATTCTGAGGAGACCCGCCCCTTCTCACTTCCCCCCTCGCTCGCCGCCGAAGAACACCAGGAGCTGACACACGCATGCACTTTCGGAGATGCGCGCGGGCTTCTTGGATCAACCAGAGCCGATTCGAGAAATCCGCGCGGACGTCCGAGAGTCGACGTGACGTGTTGCCCTCCTCGAGGGAACGGGGGGGTTCTCCTTTGCTGGCAACGTGCCGCGTCCGGAACGAATATGTCCGGAACATTGTCCGGAACACGGTTCGGAGCAAACGCGTGGTGGACCCCACGGCCCTGGCCCCCCCCCACTTCCGAGGTCCTTGAGAGCACCAGGGCCCTCCGGCCTCGTAGCCCCCGCCGCCCGCAGGCCGCTCAGGAACGTAGATGTCGGGCGTTCCGACGCCAGGACGGGCCAAAATGGACGTCCCTGGGCACGCAGCAAAGTCGTGTTGAACCCGGTTCTTCGGACGGCAACAAGCAAGAATGACGCCAGGCAAGAGTGACTTATGGTGCGCGGCTTTACAGGGACGCGGGGTGGGAAAAGGGGGGAGGGGGGGGGGGGGGGGGGGGGAAGGAGGTGAGGGGGGGGAGGGGGGGGGGGGGGGGGGGGGGGGGGGGGGGGCGGGGCCAAAAACCCGAGCGCACAGCCGCTGCTTTGTCCACTCCATGGGCGATGGGAATCCCAGCCAGCGCCCAGTGGGCCCGCATCAAAGGTCGGTGGCCAGCCCGAGGGGGAATGTGAGGAAGGGCGGGCCTTCTCAGAAGGCTCGGAAGTCCCCCCGCCATCTGAGAGGTGTCCGCGGCCTTCTCCGAAGACACGGAAGGCTTCCCAGGAGGCCGAAGGGCTTCTGAGAAGCCTCGCAGCCCTCTGAGCGGGCATCCTCCTGAGCACTTCCCCACCTCACTCGCCGCCGAAAAGGTCATTCCGGCGAAGGGTTAGGTCGGGCATGTCCTCCTACAGGCGGATTTTGGACTAACAATAAGAAATACTCAGAAGGCTCGGAAGTCCCCCCGCCATCTGAGAGGTGTCCGCGGCCTTCTCCGAAGACACGGAAGGCTTCCCAGGAGGCCGAAGGGCTTCTGAGAAGCCTCGCAGCCCTCTGAGCGGGCATCCTCCTGAGCACTTCCCCACCTCACTCGCCGCCGAAAAGGTCATTCCGGCGAAGGGTTAGGTCGGGCATGTCCTCCTACAGGCGGATTTTGGACTAACAATAAGAAATACTCAAACATCTTCAAGAAGAGTTCAAAACAAATAGAAACATCGTCCCCTGACTATTTTTCTGACTATACCTAAATGGTCTTCCTGTAGGGGGGACAGGCCCGACTCAAGCGAAGGGTCACTCTCGCGGATTTTTAACAAATCGAAACCTCGTCCCCAGACTATGTGTTGACTACTATTGGATATTCCTCCTGTAGGGGGACAGGCCCTCCTCCTCCTCCTCCTCCTCCGCCTCCTCCTCCTCTTCCTCCTCCTCCTCCTTCACCTCTTATATATATATATATGTATATATATACATATATATATATATATAACTGTGCTTGAGCATTCCTCCTGTATGGGGGACGGTCCCGACTCGAGCGAAGGGTCGCTCCCACGTGCAGCCGGCCTGCCCCCCCCCCCTGGCCTCCACAGGAACCTGTTTTGCGTCGGCGGCTAGGCAGGGGATGCCTGCGCTGGCGATGGGATGCCTAAACGGGGATGTCTTTAGAGCGAATTGTGCCACCATGCAAGAGGAGGATCCGAGGGGGGGGGGGCGCGGCCGAAACAGGGGCGGAAGGAGCGAGCGGTTCAGGGGGGACGGATCGCTTCCCGAGCGAGCGGCGCGGCCAGCCCCGCCGGCGCCTCCACAGGAACAGCAGGCTCGCTTCCACAGAAACAGCAGACTGATATCCAAGGTCGACGTGCGTCGGGGCATCCAAGGCGGGGCGGTATGTAGTGCGCATGTGTCTACAAGAAGGGCGAACAAAAAGAGAGAGAGAGAGAGATAGAGAGAGACAGAAGGAGAGAAAGAGAGAGAGATGGAGAGAGCAAGAGAGCGAAAAAGAGACAGATGTACAAAAACACTACCAGCATAAGTCCTTGCATGTAGACCTCGCATGCATTATTTGCATAAGTATGTGTGTACATGGGTGTATGTACAGGAACATGCATGTATGTACAGGTGCATGTATGTATGTCCATGTATGCCATGTGCCAATTGATTATCTGACCGTCGTCGCGCTATCCAATGTTGCGAGGTGCTCTGTCCTGGGGATCTCGTAGGGCCGTTGAAAAGCCGTCTGGGGCCTCTTGGGTCGTCTTGAAGCCTAGATGGGCCGTCTCGGGGCCTCTGGCTCGTCTTTTGGGTCTCTTAGGGTGTATTGGTGCGGCCTGGGTACCTACGCACTGGTTGTTTATTGGAAGCGTTCAGTGACTCTTGAGGGCCCCTACGGGGGCCCTCTTGCGGCCTTCTTGGGCCATCCTGGGCCCCTTGCCCCTCTTGAGACCTCTTGGTGGCCTCTTGGGCCCTCTTCGGGAAAACTTGAGGGCACTTTGGGAAACCGTGCAGAACACGATTGCCAAAATATGGTGTGTGTGGTTCGGGGGGCTTCTTTGGAGTCCTCTTCGAGTTCCTTTGGACAGTCGAAGGGCTTCCTCCGTCCTGCGGCCCTCTTCGGCTATCGTTGGCCCCTCTGTTTGGCAGTCTTCGGGGCCTCCTCGGGACATCGTGGCGCCGTGCCGGGCCCTCGGGCACCATGGACCGCACGCGACCAGTCCCGGATCAGCCTTCCATGCGCAAGGGGGAGGGGCCATGACAGCTACACGGCAGCCTTTCGAAATGGCAGTGTGCCTCTTCGAACGGATCGGAGGCTTCGAAGATCGCGCCTTGCAGGCCGGGAGGTCGTTACAAGAAGCGCTCCTGCCCTCTGAGAAAACCGCCTCCTCCGCGCCGACCCCGTTCTGCGCGCCGCCGACCCCAAGCCCTGGCCTCTACCCAGACCCTCGACGTCCCTGATCTGCTGAGTGCGCGGGGCCACAGAAACCCTCGACTCCCCCCCTCCGCCTGGCACTTGGCATCTGGCGCGCTTTGTCCTGCTGATGCGGCGGCGACTCCCTCCTCCACCTCCTCCTCCTTTTCCTCCCCCGTCCACCTGTTCCTCCTCCCCCTCCTCCTCCCCCTCCTCCTCCTCCTCCTCCTCCTTCTCCTCCTCCTCCTCCTCCTCCTCCTCCTCCTCCTCCCCCTCCTCCTCCCCAACCTCCTCCCCCTCCTCCTCCTTCTTATTCTCCTCCCCCCGTCCGCCTGCTCCTCCTCCTCCTCCTCCCCCTCCTCCTCCTCCTCCTCCTCATTATCATCCTCCTCCTCTTCCTCCTCCTCATCCTCCTCCTCCTAGCCCTCTTCTTCCTTCTCCTTCTCCGAGTCCCCCCCCAACACTCGTATGAGAGGTCGCTCCACACCGTGGGCCGTCGTCCAGTGTGGGCCAGAGGCACGCCCGCAAAGTCCCGAGGAGACAACACGCATTTCCCACGAGGCCTTACTGGTCAGGACGCCGTCAGGCCCCAGGGGATGCCCATAACTCCAAGCCGCTTACACCCCTGATTAGAGTTAAGAACAAATGCGCTAAGAAAGTGGCCTTCACCCCAAGCGCTTTCTGACGCCATTGTCCAGGTCCACATGCACAAACGTTCTGCACAGAAAAGAAGCTTCGAGAAAATGCCCAGGTGTTCAATCCCACTTCCTGAGTTTCGCAAGCGAAGCCTTAAGGTTTCTGATGGGCTCCGCCGCATCGCCGCGTCGGCGATGTGGCGGACCCACTTGGGCCGCAGAAAGCAGGACAGCAGGGGAGCGGCGGGGGGCGAGAGGCCTCCTGGCAGCCCAGAACTCCAGGCCGCCCCGGGTGGGTCCGCGTGGCCGATGCGACGGCGAGTGGGCGCGGCACGGAGCCCGATCCGCCTCCTCCTCCTCCTCCTCCTCCTCCTCCTCCTCGTCCTCCCCCTCCTCCTCCTGCTCCTCCTCCTCCTCCTCTTCTTTTCCTTATTCGTATGATTATGATTCTGATTATTACTCCTATTATTAGCAAGTATTATCATTCTTGGTATTATTACCAGTATTGGTAGTACATGTTCTTTTTTCTTCTCCTTCTTATTCCTGCTCCTCCTCCTCCTCCTTTTCCTCCTCCCCCTCCTCCTCCTCCTCCTCCTCCTCTCCTCCTCTCCTCCCCCTCCCCCTTCCCCTCCTCCTCCCCCTCCCCTCCTCCTCCTCCACCACCACCTCCTCCTCCTCCTCCTCCTCCTCCTCCAGAGGTGCAGCTCCGATGCGTCGCATTTCACCGACAGAATGTGCTCGGACACGGCTTGGGCGGCCTCCAAACTCGGCGGCGAGCGCGGGGGTGAAGTGAAGAAGAGGACGCCTTTTCAGAAGGCTCGGAAGTCCCGCGGAAGTTTTCCAAGCCGTCCCCGAAGGCACAGAACACTTCTCAGAAGGCGCGAGGGTTTCTGAGAAGTCCCGCCGCCTTCCGAGAAGGCCTTCTTATTCTCACTTCCCCCCCACCCCCCGCTCGCCGCAGACATTACACAGCACCACCAATGTCGCCCGCAAACCGTGGAAAGAGCACCTCGAAAAAGAAGCGCACGACTTGAACGGGACACCCTCCACAGCGTTTTGCTTGCCAGCGGTCGCCCCCATGTTCATGGAGCCGGAGGACGACGGCTCCTCCGAGATCGTGTCCTGCTGGCCCTGTCCGGCGGAGACGCCCGCGTTCAGGCTGGCGAAGGAGTACCTGGGCGCCGTCGGCGGCGACGCCGGGGGTTGGCAATGGCGTTGGCAGTGGTGCTGGAACTGGCGACGATGCGGAACAGGTGGACGGGCAGGATGGGGGAGGGGGAGAGGGGCGGGTGGAGAAATGGGAGAAGGAGGCTGGGCAGGTCGAAAAAGGGCAAGGAGGAGGACGAGGAGGGGGAAGGGCGAGGGGGAAAAAAGAGGAGGGAGGAAGAGGGGGGGAGGGAGAGGAACGGTATAACTGGCGGCGGGGAGGAGACCCCGAAGACTGCCCCTGCCCCCCCCCACAAGCGCACAAGGCAGACCCGACGAGGAGGAGGAATGCGGCGAAGACGAGGAGAGAACCGCCGACACGGCGCAGAGGAGTGCGTCACATGCCCTGGCTCTCCCAGGCGTGGGGGCACGAGCTGTCGCACGCGGCGGCCTCCCGTGCCCCGCCCCCAGAGCGCTGACACACAGCATGCTGGGCTGGCACAGCGTCGGGACTCGCCACGGGCAGCTGAATATATGAATACATCTCTCTATATAGATATAGAAATTAATATAGAGAGACTGCAAGATAAATCTACAGACGATGCGATCGGCAGATCTAGAGTGAGACCGATCGTTCTGCAGAGACAGAGTTGGTGCTATCCACAAGTACGCGGATGGTGAGCGACACATGGATAGCGAGAGGTAGATGCTTGCCAGCGCATTCCCCCCACGATTGAGATCCAGCACTCTGGGGATGAGGCCACCTGCTTGAAGGCGCAGGCCACGCGGCGGGGAGGCGAGCACCCGTGCAAGCTGTGTGGCGGGAGCCATCTGGCCAGCACTTCGACGCTGCCCCCCGCGCGGCAGCGGGGAGCCACGGGCTGCCACGGGCGGCAACGGGCCAGAACGCGGGCGGCGAGGGGCGGCGACGGGCTCGAACCTGCCGCATCCTCGAGACGCCCACCCGAGCCGCAGCAGGCGGCAACGGGCGACAGCGAGCGGCAACCGGCCGGCAACCGGCAGAGAACGGGGGCCAGCGGGCCAGATCGCGGGCGGCAACCGGGGCGGCAACGAGCGGCAACCGGCAGGGACGGGGGCAACGGGCGGCAGCGGCAACGCGGGCGGTCGTCCCCCCCGCGACCCAACCCGCGATCCACCCGCGACCCACCCCGCGATCCGCCCGCGACCTGCCCGCGACCCACCCGCGACTCAACCCGAGACCCAGCCACGACCCAGCCGCGATCCACCCTGCGACCCACCCCGCGACCTGCCCGCGACCCAGCCGCGACCCAGCCGCGACCCACCCGCGTCCCGCCCGCGACCCATCTGCGACTCACCCGCGACCCACCCTCGTCCCGCCCGCGACCCGCACGCGACCCACCCGCGATCTACCCGCGACCCATCCCGGGATCCAGCCGCGACCCAGCCGCGATCCACCCCGCGACCCACTCCGCGACCCGCATGCGACCCAGCCGCGACCCAGCCGCGACCCAGCCGCGACCCACCCCGCGACCAACCCACGTTGCTTTTACAAAAAAATCGGGGCGCCTGCAGCGGGCTTCTTCAGAGCCTCGCAGACTGCAGACGTCCCCGCCGCCCCCTCACTCTTATCCGCGACTGCGGTGTGTTGCGTGTGTGTATTTAACATATGTATATATATATATATATACGTATATATGCATATATATATATAATATAGAATATAATATATATGAGAGAGAGAGCGTGATCCACCGACGCTTTACTATGGAAAATTGCCAACCTTTTCCTCCGGAACCCGGGGGTCTCCCCCCCCCCCCTCCGAAAATCCCCCCCCCCTGCTGGAACCCCTCCCCCCCCCCTCCCTCCCGGCAAAACCCCCCCCTCCCCTACCCCTCCCCCCCCCCTCCCCCCCTCGCCCGGGGGGGGTCACACCACCACTGCCCCCGCTGGTTCCACCACCGTCCCTATTGTCCCCACCATGCCCCCACCAGTGCGCCACCACTGTCGCACTGTCCCCACTGTTCCCACAACTGTTCCCACCACGGTTCCACTCTCCCCACTGTCTCCACGGACCCAACCACTGCCTATCCCCACTGTCCCCACTGTCCCACTGACTCCTCCGCTGTCCCACTGAGCTGTCCCACTGTTCCCACCACTGTCCCCACTGTCCCCACCACTGTCCCCACTGTACCTCTGTCCCATTGTCCCACCGCCGTCCTCGCCACCGCCTTTACCAGTGTCCCCACCACCATTGTACCCTCCACTGTCCCAGTGTTTCCACCTCATTCCCACTGTCCCCACACCACTGTCCCCACCACCACCGTTCCCACCACTGTCCACTGTCCCCCCTGTTCCCACCATTGTCCCCACCACTGTCCCCACCACTACCGTCCCCACCACTGTCCCACTGTCCCCCCACTGTCCCCACCACTGTCCCGCTGTCCCCTCACCACTGTCCCCACCAACACCGTCCCCACCACTGTCCGCACCCCCACTCGGTTTTCGGGGGGGGGGGGGGGGGGGTTCGAACCGGTAGTGACCCCCCCCCCTTTTCATGATGAGCTGGGGGGGGGGGGGAGGGGTTCGAACGCGGAGGGGGGGGGGGGGGGAGGGGTTCGAACCGGTAGTGACCCCCCCGGTTTTCCGCCAGCAGCGGTAGAAACACGCTCTTTCATATATATATATATATATATATATATATATATATATATATATACACCTCTCTCTCTATATCTATATCAGAATCAGGGGGGCGAACGGTCATTCACTGTCCGTTGGTGCGTGGCTGAAATCAGATCCCGCGATGCGGATGATTGTTGTTGTTGAGGCTGTTGCTGCTGTTGTTGAACTCCCGGGAATGAAGAATAATTACAGTTATCTCCACCATGGGGTGACAACTGTATTTTTTCAATTGCAGTCCTTCCCCTGGGGCTCGCACCCTGTTTCTTTTATCAAGGAACATCCAGGGGCTCAAACTGTGTTGTTGGCCCCTAGTTTGCAACAACAGCAGCTCCCGCCTGACAGTTCCTCACATTGTATTCCAAAATCGCGCTCTCGCGCGGGAATTCTTCACAATTTGTATCCGGACCGCGCTCTCGCGTGGGACCTCCTCGCAATTTACTCAGACGATTCGCCGTCGGCGCTTAGGAGTCACGCTCTCGCTTTGGCTTCTCTCACGATTTACTTGGGAATCGCGCTATCGCTATCGCTCGAGACTTCCGAGCGATTCATGCAGGACCCACGCTTCAACAACCCGCCTGCTCGAGCTGGTCGCCTGGGCCCGCTTTCCCGACATGCCCGCTATGGGTCTGCCCACCCGATCTGCCCGTCTGGTTCTACTACTTGTTTTCTGTGACTTGCCCCCTCCTGCTCATGTCTCCCGTGTTCCATTCTTCTCCCTCCCCCTTCACCCGTCTCATCTCCCCTTGTTTTAGGGGCTGCACTCACTGCACGTGGCAGGTAAGGAAGATATGCCCCCAAAGGGGTATGATCGAAGACGACGAGGGCGAGCACCGAAGGTTTGGGATATACGTATTGAGTGGCACGCGAGCAGATAGGAGCGAACAGCCTTAAACTGCTTGTTGTTATTGTTGTTTAGTAAAAAACAACTATTGTGGTTTAACCTCCCCAGGATCCCTGGCCCTCTCGCCTCGGCGCCGGCAATATTTTCATCGACAATGAGGCTCGCGCTCGAGCGGTTTGGGGGGGCGCCAAAACCGGCCCCCCAACAGCAACAACGCTCCCGCTCGAGACGTCCTTCTCTATTACTCAGAGCTTCTCTTGCTCGCCACCGAAAACCGCCGCCCCAACAAAACCAGCGCACCCGCCCGAGATTTTCTCCCGTTTTACCATGGACTGGCGCGCTACTCTTTCTCTCATCGGCGCCGCCCCCAACAAAAACAACGCTCCCGCTCGAGACATCCTCCTTCTTTACTCAGAGCCGGTGCTTTTGCTCGCCGCCGAAAACCGCCGCCCCAACAAAACCAGCGCTACCGCCCGAGACTTCCTCCCGTTTTACCATGGACTTGCGCCCTACTGTCTTTTGAATTGGCGCCGCCCCCAACACGAACAACGCTCCCGCGCGAGGCTTCCTCGATTTTCCTGAGGACGGTGCTGTTCCTCGCCGCCGACAGCCCCCGTCCCGACAAAACCGCGGCTCCCGCTCGAGGCATTTTCCATTTTGCTCAAGGCGGTGTTCCTCCTCGCCGCCGACAGCCGCCGCCCCAACAGAACCAGCGCCCCCGCTCGAGACTTCGTTTTGCTCTACGCTGGACTAGCGCCCTACTCTCTTCTGCAGTGGCGCCGCTCCCAGCAGCAACAGCCCCTGCTCGAGACTTCCTCCCTTTCTATTCAGGGCCAGGTCCTTGCCTCGCCGCCGACAGCCCCCATCCCCACCAAGCCAATCCTGTCGCTCGATACGTCCTTGTGCTTTACCCTTGGCTGGGGCTCCACTGGCGATCTCGCATCGGCGCAGCAGGGCGCGGGCATGTGTTTTCGAGGCGGGATATGTTGAAATTCCTCGGAGGAGGTGTTTGCAAGACCTCATTGGGCGGAAAATCTGGGAATGGGAATAACGGGCCCCGCGATAGAACAGTAATCCCCCATAGTGCGGGGTGGTTATCATGACGGTCGCATTCTGCGTGTGGAAGCATCGCGCATGAGGGTAAGATGATTGTTATTGTTGTCGTCGTTGTTGCGGTTGTTGGTTATGTTGCTGTTGTTGCTGATGTTGCTGTGGTTGTTGTTGTTGCTGTTGTTGTAATTGTTGGATTCTCACTTCTGAAGAATAATTGTTGTTGGTCCCCCCACCGGTGCTTACTGTTTTTCTCCATCAAAGAGTGCCCCTCGACGCTCGCACCCTGTTTTTTGACAAAGAAAATTTTCCTGCTCAAACTGGTCCCCTGGCCCTTGGGTTACAACAACAACGGCTCCCGCCTAGGACTTCCTTACAATTTAGCCAGGACCCCCGCTCCCGCCCGAGACTTCCTCGCATTTCATTCAGGAATCGCGCTCTCGCTTGGGACTTCCCTGCGATTTATTCCGGAATCGCTCTCCCGGCGCTCTGGAGTCGCGCTCTCGCTGGAGACTTGCTTGCAACTTACTGAAGAATGGCCTTGCGTTGGGATTTCCTGCAATTTGCCGAAGCTCCGCGCTCCCGACACCCAGGCACCCAGGAGTCGCGCTCGTTGTGGCCCCCTGTGCATGCCCTTCGCGGCCCCGCTGTCGCCTTTTGTGCCCCCCTCACTGTCCTACGTGGCCCAGTTGCTACCCTCAGTGGCCCCATAATTGCCTTCTGTGGCCCCGCATTATGTGCACTTCGTGGCCCCCTGTCGTTCGCGCTCTCCGTGGGCCCATACGCATTCCCTTCGTGTCCCCGCTGTCGCCCTTCGTGCCCTACTTCGTGTCCTTGTGGCCCTGCTGTCGTTCTCTCTCGCTCTCGCTTTCGCTCGTCGTCGCCGTCGTCGTCGTCGCCGTCGTCGTCGCCGTCGTCGTCGCCGTCGTCGTCGTCGTCGTCGTCGTCGTCGTGGTTGGTCCCCTGTCCGTCCCTCTTGGGGTCGGGTCGACGGTCCGCGGCCGCCCCGCCGACGCTGCCGCTGGCCAGGCCGACGGTCCGCGGCCGCCCCGCCGCTTGCCGGGGCCCGGCCTGCAGGGAAGAAAGCTATGCCCCCCAAAAAGGGGTTCGATCGAAGACGAAGAGGGCGGGTATCGAGGGTTTGGGAAATACGCGTTATTGGACACTCGAGCATATAAGGGCGAACGGTCTTAAAATGATTGTTGTTGTTGCTGTTGTTCTGTGTTGTTGTGTGTTGCTTGCTGTTTGCTGTTTGTTGTTTGTTGTTTGTTGTTTGGCGTCGTCCCCCCTGGGACCCAGCCTGCGCCCCACGCGCGACTCACCCCGCGACCCACCCACTTTGCTTTAAACAAATATCGGCGCCTGCGGCGGGCTCGTTGTCTAATCTGAGTATATATATATATATATATATAAACAAAAAAAAAAACAAAAAAAAAACAAAAAAAAAAAAAAAAAAAAAAAAAAAAACGCCTGCGGCGGGCTTCTCCAGAGCCTCGCAGACTGCAGACGTCCCCGCCGCCCCCTCACCAGTCTCCGCGACTGCAGGGTGCGACGTATATCATACGAATGCGGAAATATGTGCCGATAGGCCGATTCCCATGTCATTAGATGATTGAATCATTCGTGACACCAGTAGATACATAGAAAGGCAAGGGCAGGGGAGGGCAGTGGGAGGGCAGATACAGAGTGGCACTCGCTTGCCTGGCGTAGGGCCGCGGGCAGTCAGATCGACGGGTAGGTAGTGCGATGCGTAGCTGGCGAGGTCACGGTGCAGATGTAGTTCAAATCTTGCAGGGCGCCAATCACGAACCGAGAGCTGCGCCCGTGTCCCCCCGCACCAACTTCCTTATCACCCGCATGACGTCTGTGAGGTACGGAATATGAGCAGAGACCATAATGAAGTTCCCCTGACCGTTCGCTGTCTCCTGCTCCGCAGATTCTCCCCCGCAGCTGGTGAAGCAAGGGACCGATCCGTTTCTGACGGTCCTGCCCCAGGGGTCGACATCTGGGAAAACCGAAAGAACGGAGGCAAAAAGCCATGTCGTCGGAGATTTGGGCTTCTTGGTCTTCTCGAAACCCCAATTTGGACGCCCGAACTGGACATGGGAAAAACGTGAACGATGCCAAACAGCAAGACGCTGTTGGCGAGGCGACCTTTTGTCTCAAATTGGCAACGTCCGCGGCGACACCGACAGCGAGCCCTCTTAAATATGAACAAGATCTGCTGTCGGTCTTCGTGCTCATTCTTTCCGTATCCATTGCGTTGGTGCCGACCCACGGGGGGTCGGCACGAACGGAATGGGGCCCGACGCTGGCGCGCTCAGATGCGAGCGCAACCCAACGTTGTGGATGCCGACGTGAGGCCGAGCTCAACCCCAGAGACCGACCACCTTTGGGCCAGCGCTACGGGTACCTCCAGCGAAGGGTCACTCTTACGTGCAGCCGACCACCTCTCGCCTCCCCCCCCCCGCCCCCCGGGTTCGCGCCCCCTCCAGGGCACGACGCGGATGTGGGGCGACTGTCGTCGCCCGCCCTGACCTCCTCGGCCCACCTCGGGAGGCTCTCCCGTGCATGCTTCGACGGGAGGGAGGAGGAGCAACAGGTACAGCAGCAGTGAGAGAGAGAGAGAGAGAGAGCAGAGAGCGAGGGAAAGAGAGAGAAAGAGAACGACGGTGAGAGAGAGAGAGAGAGGCGAGAGAGAGAGAGACAAGCAAGCAAATAAAAAAGAAAGAGAGACAGGAAGGAAAGTGAAAATGAAGGCAGAGAGGAGCACGGAGCGAGGCATTGTGACTTCTCTCTGTGTACGCATGCAGGTACATGCGCTGGTAAGTATTTCGGATGTTTCGAGTTTCGAACGCAGGGGCGTGAAGGGGAGAGAGAAGAGAGAGAGAGAGGGAGGAGCCAGCGAGAGGAGAGATACCAATCAAAATGTAATGTTCCCGGTTTCGTGCTCGACGCTCCCTTCCGTTTCTTCCCCCCCGTTTACCATACTTCTTCTCCACAATTCAAGTATCGTGCTTTCCTGCGAGCCCTTGTTTTGTGTTTCGCTCCACTTGTTTGTTACGGCGGCTCCTCCTGGGATGGTCCATGCGAGGCCTCAGACAAGCTTTTCGGGGAAGCTCTTGAGGGCCTCTCGACGTATCTTGGGCGTCATGGGGGGGGCCTCTGGGGGCTTCTTCGGCTCGTTGTCAACCACGGTGTCTTTCAACGACGCAATGGGCCACGAGTACTTCGGGGGGGGGCGTCGTGGGGCTACGTTGGCCATCATGAGGCTTTCTTTTGGATGTCTTGGGGACCTATTGAGTCGTTTTCGGGCTCGCCTCGCCTTTCTGAATGCCCTGCAGGTCCGCCAGATGAGATGCCTCTGGGGCAGCCTCGGGAGATCGCACGAAACCCTCCCGAGCAATCCTTACGTCTATGCGCTTGAATGGCCAATCGGGGGTCTTTTTTGGTCGTCTTCGGGCGTCTAGGGTTAGGGCAGGCATGTCCTCCTACAGGCAGATTTTGGAAGGAACCGTAAAAATAGTCAAACCATCTCCAAAAATACCCTAAATGATCGAAAAATGGTCCCAAGGCTAGTGTTTGACTGTTTCTGAATACTCCTCATGTAGAGGGACGGCCGTGCAACCGTTGCGCGGCATGATGATCCAGAATTCGCCAACGGCGCCTGTTCTGTCGGCGACCGTGCCACGGAAACCGATGATAGATAGGGTTAGAGCTTTGATGCATGACCGTGACAATAGTTCCAACACGAACGGGTGGTCTGTGAGTCTGGCGCTGTGAGAGGGCGGGTGTCGTGGAGGAGGAGGAGGGGAAGGAGGAGGAGGGGGAGGAGGAGGAGGAGGAGGACAAGCTAGGTGCGCTCGCGGCATATCTGATGTCCTACCCGTCCCTCCCATCCCTTACCACGGCGTAGATCTCCTCTGTATTCACAATATCGGATGTCGTAGCATGGCATACCATTACATGGCATGCCATGGTGTTGAAGATCAACGCGTAGCATGACATCGCATGGCATGACGACGCCCCAAAGTGGGGGGGGCCTCTGCGGCCCAAAAATTCAACGAGTCGGCAATGAATGTGTAAACACTTCCGATGGTTTTTTCGGGAGGGATTTTCTAGATTTCGGGGTCTATTTGGAAGGACCGGAAACCATGCCGTGGCGCTGAAGCGGGAGCACAATTCGGAACGAGCGGAAGCACGGAAATGAGTCCAGCGCTGCAGCGGGAGCACGATTCGGAGCGAGCGAAGTGCGGAAAATGAGGCCAACGCTTCAGCGGGAGCAC